TTTGACAACTATTCCTCCATGAAGTATTTCAGTCATGCTTGCAACCATGTGAATTAATTGCAGTGAGTTCACTAAGTCCTGCCATTTCATTGCTAGAAACTTAAAGCCAAAAGCTTGGATATTCATTACCTGTTTAGGAGGGTTTTCACGTTGCGGCTTCTCGTATTGCAAGAGCCAAGAAACCATGACATCAGGCCTTGATAAAAATCCGGAAAGCTAAAAAAAAAAAAAAAGAAAAAGGCTTCCATGAGCCAATAAATAGACTTTCCAACGCAGCTCAATCACTTACAGAAGCCCTCCCAAATAGGCTATGGGAGCTTCTGGCTTTCTGAAGTGGGCCCTATACAGATGGCCTATAAGCTATCTTTGGTGAAAAATCCCAAGAGCCCAAATCAGCTGTTAGTCAGTCATTTGAAGAGATGTCCGCTTCAATTCCTTTTTGTTTCATGGGGCTATATGAAACATTTCGACACGATACATTGTATTGGGCATATCGTATTGTATCGCCATGAGTGGTTTCAGGGGGTATGTATGCCTAAAACCAACCCCTGAAACAATTTTGAAAGAAATTAAAAAAAATAGATTAACTATTAATCATCGAAACACCCAATACCCGGTCAATATTTCAATTTAATAGGAGCTATCACTCTTCCAAGATTTGCTTTGAATTCATATGGATATGCTTGGAAACATTAAGAATATTCTCAAAAATTCTATAAATACATTAATAGCATTAAATTTAAGGTTGAAATAACTATTAATAAATAAGAGGCATACTATATAGCTTTTCACAAATTATTAATGTAAAAGGTCATTAACATGTTATTATTTATTCAAATTAAACTATTAATTAATGATAAAATAATATATAACTAATCTAAAAATTATATTATATTCATGAGAATGTAGAACCATAGATCCAAGAGTCCAAAAATAGCACAAATCATATGCAACAATTATATCTTAATTATTAAATCAACTATTCTATATTTTATTACTTTTACCTTTGTCCATTACCACATATAAGTCAACTTCTTAATATGCTAGCAAATGACTATATAACTTCTTAATATTACTAATGTAAATTAAATTAGTTTTGTGAATGACGTTTTTATTTGTTAGTAAATATGTTGTTATTTCTAGTACATTAAAGTATTAATTAATAATTCATAGAAATATATAATCTTAATTTAGAAGATATATCAGACCCATTAGAAGACATAAGATACATATCATATGTAATTTTTTTTATTAGTAACAAAAAACTTTATTAATGATGAGAAGATTTGTGAAACTTTAGATACAATAGGGGGAGGTAAAATGTCTTGCTCCCCCTTGAACAGAATATAATGAAATAAACATAAAAATTAGCCCAAAAGATAGACTTCCTATTCACCCCTTGCTTGGCCAGCCCATCCGCGAATGAGTTAGCAGTCATTTTCACCTAGTTGTATTGTATCTCAATGTCCCTATACAGCTAAAAGATTTTTTTCTTTTTATTGTTATAACTCTACAAACCATTTTCCTCTTCCTTCAACCAACTAATCACCACCTTCGAGTCACCTTCCAGGACCAAACATTTGATATTTAGTTCCCTTGCTCTTTGATTTCCTTCCAGAGTTGCAAGGATCTCAGCCCTAAGAGAATCTCCTTCTCCAATGGGGCTTGAGAACAAAGCAATAACAATCCCTTCCTCATTCCTGAATACTCCCCAATCCTAAAAGGCTCTGGATTCCTTAAACTACTGCCATCAAAGTTCAGTTTTATAAATCCAGAGGGAGGAGGGGATGAGGCGGGATTAAGAGTCCTCTTATACAAAGCAGAGGTAGCTATCACTTTTCAATTTCTTAACAAGTCAGCCACTGGAAAGTCTGAGAATAGATCCATAGATTTTAGACAGTGGGCAGCCCTTAAAAGTATTAGGTCTAATAGGTTTTCTTGGTTTCTTTTCTTGTTTGAGAAAATTCGTGAGTTTCTTTCTTCCCACAGGGACCAATACATAGTTGCCCTAATGCTCCTCCACATAATCTTCCCTCTCTTCTTAGGCCATCTGAAAAACGAAAGAGAGAACAGACTTTGGACACTCTCAGGGGGATTCCAAGAACACCCAAAGAGAGAGAGAACCCACTCCAATACAATTTAGTAACCTTACAAGAAACCATAAGGTGGTAACCAGTTTCCCCATTAGCTTTACAAAGAGTACACCTATTAGGAAATAAACATGAATTGGGTTTCTTTTTCTAAAGTAAATCATTTGTATTAATTATTTTTAAGAAAATTTCCCAACAAAAACTACCAACCCAATGAGGAATGGGCTTGCTCCAAATTTCTTTAACCGGAAAGGACAACCCAATAGGGATAGGAGGTTGAGTTAAGGTTTCAAAAAACGAAGTACAAGAGAAAGTACCTGAGGTGGAAGGAGTCCAAAATCTGGTGCCCTCTTTATTAGGATCCAAGAAAACATTCTCAATGATGGTTAGCAAAGATAAAATGTTGTCCAAGTTTGTATCCCTAATTACCCTTCTTAGGTTTAGGTTCCACCCAAAACCAGAAGTGGAGTCTAAAGGACCTAAGAAAGAAGAAATATGTTCATTTTTCAAGTCTGACAGAACATACAATGAGGGAAATTGGTCCTTTATAGGCGAATCCTCTATCCAAAGTTGTTCTCAAAATTTTATTCGATTACTAGAGTTAAGACCATACCTGATCCAAGGGGAGAAAGTTGGAAGTAGATCATGAATGGATTCCAAAGGAGAAGCAGCTGTAGCCCTTGCCACAATTACAGGATTCCAACCATTGCCTTCCATCCCATGTATACTAGCCACAATCTTTGTCCACAATTTATTTCTTTCCACTATAAACCTCCACAACCATTTCCCTAGCAAAGCCATATTTCTTTTCTTAATGTTTCCAATCATAAGGCCTCCTAGCTCTTTACATCTAGTTAAAACCTCCCAACTCACCCTATGATCTCTTTTCTCCTCTCCAGGCTCCCGCAGAAAATCCCTCATTAATTTTTTCAAAAAATTGGAAACCCTAGTGGGGATCTTAAACACTGACAGAAAATAAACAAGTAGGTTAGCTAGGGTAAACCTAATCAGAGTAACTCTCCCCCTTAAGGAAATATAATTTTTCCTCCAAAATGCAAGCCTCTTCTCAAATCTCTCCACTACCGGGTTTCAGAAGCTTTCATTCTTAGGATTATCTCCTAAGGGGAGGCCCAAGTACATCAAAGGGCAATTCGATATTGCACAACCTAACATACCTGCATATTCACTTAATTCCCTCTCCTCCACATTCACTCCCACCACAACTCTTATCAAAGTTCATCTTGAAGTTAGCCATTTGCTCAAAGAGTTGCATTGCCAATTTTAAATTCCGGATCCAATTTATTGTCCCCACCTTCATAGAACAAGATTGTATCATCTGCAAACTGCAGATGTGTTAGTGGTATCTTCTCCCTTCTTACTTGCCACCATTTTATCAAATTCCTTGAATCAGTTCTATGGATCAATCTCCCAAGTACATCAGCAATCAAGGTGAATAGGAAGGGGGAGAGTGGGTCTCCTTTGTCTTATACCTCTCAAGGCAGGAGAGAAGTCAACCACAATTCCATTCCCCAAGATAGAATTACATATCATGAATTTAATTACTGAAATAATTATTTTGTTACTATAATAGGAGATGGATTAGTACCTCTCCATACATTGCCCCTGCTCTTCAATATTTTGAACTAAATGTATCTTCACTCTGCATGGTAAATTCAAAAAATCCAACATCTAGTTACTTTGGCTCTGTCAAAGCATGAGTCATCATGCTATCAAATGCAGAAACACCATATGAGTTGGAAATGTGTGAACACTACAAGTTTTTTTGGCTACAAGCTAACACTATATGAGTTAAATCATAGAGAAATTGTTCATTTCTTATAAAGTAATTATCAAGATACCGTAATTCACCATATAAACCTAAAATTCTGGTCAAATCCCATGCAAATGACAAATAAACTTGACATGCATGATTTTTCTTGAACATAACATAGTGAAGATCTTGCAGTCACTAAAATCTAGTGTCAAGAATATCCTGTATCCTGATTTTCACAATCGCAAATCATAAGTCTATTGTTTGCCTTGCTTAAACAATGCATTTCCACAAGTTGGTTAAGATGCAGAAATCATTTTCTGGAAGATGTTGGATACCACCTAACAGTTTATGGGAGCACACTTTTTTTGGTCAACTTCATCTTTGTTTGAGGGGCTGTTTCTCTTGGAGGATGAAACTCATGGATCACTTGCTCCATTGACCATTGGTCAAACTATTGGTGAAAGAAGAGGAAAAATAATGCATGCTAAGAATGGAGTGAAACTGGTCAAACTGAAACCTCTGCAAATATTTAGATCTAAACAGGTTCTAGTATTGTTTACAGCAACTATCGAGGACTTAGTGTCTTTGTAAGATCAGTTGAACTAAAAGAAGATTTTATTTACCGACTTGAAATGAGCAACCTTTAAATTTAGTTCTAAGTTCATATTTTCAGCAAATTTATTGGTTAACTTTATTCCCTTTTTACCAAAAAAAAAGTGGAAACTGAAAGTGAATGAGCAATGGCTAGGGACATGGGGCTAGATACTTTATAAATTCTCATCACTCGTGTGCTTAGGTTTAAGAGCAATAGGTTTTTCCATGGCAACCAAGAAAAGAACCTACAGTTGATAGAAACAAAAAACATATATGTACTTGTCACAAAAATCACCAAAAGGAAAATGTCAGTTCAGGTTTCAGTTGCATAGTTATCATTTAACATTGATACATCTTCAAATACAAAGTAGATAAGATAAATTGTATTTGTCACATAAAACATCTACAACTGAAATATGTCCCTCATTGAAGAATGAGTGTTCGATGAATGTTATTGAGAACATGTTCAACACCAGCAGAATTATTGGATCTCAGCCTCAGGAATTTGATTCGTTTAGTTGATGTTGCTTGCGGTATACTGATTCATTTACTGGATCTTGGGAACTTCTCAAGCAAGAGAACTTGATTTATTTAGTTGACCTTGCTTGTGGTGTACTGATTCATTTAGCGGATCTTGAGATCCAAGAGATCAAGATTTTCAACCTGAAAGTAAAAAACCAAGCCCCTCACATTACTAATTGATCAAAGTAAAGAATTGTGAAGTGTTAAGAAAATTGAGAGAGAAAATAAAAATAGAAATCAGACTAGCCTAGATCAATTAATAGTAGACAAATATATAAAAGTGAGAATGATAAACACAACTTTCTGCCATTGAAATAGCACGAGTTGTTTCCATGAATGCTTCTGGAAAAAAAATGAATTAGATAATTAAATTAAATACATTCAATAATATAAATATAGGACTGCCTTGATAAAAGAAAACAGGCTTCTGAGATTCTAAATGGGAGATTTACCTTACTTTACATGAATTGGGGCCTTCAATTACATTTTCATCACCAGCAGAGAAATGAGCATATAGAAATATGTGATTATAGATGCAGAAGAGAGAAAAGAAAGGAAATTAAATTTTTTTTTTTTAAAAAAAAGCCATTACCCAGTGCTCCTGGCTGTCTGGGGTTTTGTAAGGAATGGACTTGATGTGGACCTAACCTCCAGCACTTTTAGCATGAAGCGGCTGCTCTTAGATTCAAACACATTTTTTTCTCAACTTTCCAGACTGAGATTTTTCCATCCACACCATGCAACGGTCTCTGAAAGGTAATATAACCATGGGGTTTATATTAAAAAAAGCATAATCTGTATGGGAAGTTATATACACCTCTTGCTCTCAACAGAGAGAACTGAGTTACTCTAAAGCCAAACTCAGATGACAGATCTCAGCTAAGGCAAAAGAAACTAACCTTTTCCACCCTATGAAAGCTAGCATGCAATGCCCATCTTGAAATTCTCATGTTCATATATGGGCCTGTCATTTTCACATTGCATACATGGATTAGTGTTGAGTTTGTGTTCTTAATGGAAACAAGCAGATATCATATTGGATGGAGAAACATATGGTATACCTGTTATATCAATTGAAGCAACAGCATACAAGTGGGTAATGGCACATGTAGAGCACATGCAGGGCAATGGGACTTACTAGCCAAGGGTCACTCAAATAGAAAACATGCATCATAATTGTGAATAACCAATCTAGAGATCTCGTGGACCACATACAATTCTTTTTTCCTAACATGGTTATGATCATCCAGCTATGTCAGTTTCTAGTGTAGCACACCTCTATCACGGACCCATGGAATAGTGGTTCCAGCAGATCATATGCCTAATTTCTTCATGGTTTAGAGATGTGTCACTTTACCAATAATCTCTGCAAGAACATAGACCATCTTTAAAATGATGGAATCTATTTGCATCCCTCAATATGATCACTCTTCCCATGATCTTAGCTATCAATTTAATTGCAGAATGGCAATCCCCACAGACTCGAAGGTTTTTCATGACTCTAATAGGCATTCCTTGCGGCACCTTCAAAAGCCCAAATGCCACAGCTAATTTCTCACTGTGGTATCCCAAATTATGCACCTTCTGTTCCTCATCCACATCATGCAGCACAAAGCTACCATCAGGACAATACCCAGCTTCCCTTAACATCACCCCCAATCTCTCCAACATTGCCACAATAACTGCATGCTCAGGGTGGCTCAAATTGTCTCCTCCAGTAAACATATGCACTTTCTTTTCAACTTCAATCCAGCTACAACCAGGTGATTTGTTCACATTCTTCACCCTCATGACTTCTCTCAGTTCCGAGACATCTTTCCATTTACCCTTAGATGCATAAATATTTGATAGCAAGATATAAGGTCCAGAGTTTTGGGGTTCAAGCTGCACAAGCTTCCTCGCTGCTACCTCAGCCAACTCCAAATTCATGTGGGTCCTACAGGCACCTAGTAAAGCACCCCAAACAACAGCATCAGCATCCACTGGCATCTTCTTTATCAAATCCATTGCCTCGTATACATGCCCTGCTCGGCCAAGCAGATCGACCATGCAAGCATAGTGCTGAGCTGTTGGCTCCACAGAATAATTTAGTCTCATTGACTCGAAAGTTTCCAGCCCCTCCTTAATCCTCCCGGAGTAGCTGCAAGCAGAAAGAACCCCAACAAAGGTAACGTCATCTGGAGACAAGCCTACAGAACACATTTCATGAAAAACTTGTAAAGCTTCCTCTCCTAAGCCATGTTGAGCATAACCTGTGATCATAGAATTCCACATGACAACATCCTTTGGATTAAACCTGTCAAACACCCGCTTTGCTTTAACAAGATCACCACATTTAACATACATTGTGGTCAAAGCTGAGGCAATAAACACCTCTGAATCATACTGCGATTTCAGCACCTTAGCATGAATTTGCCGGCCGTGATCAAGAATGGCCAGGGTAGTGCAAACAGTAAGAACACTAATTAAAGAAGGATAGTTTGGCCGAAATCCCGCCTCTTGCATAAGAACAAACATGTTGAGGGCTTCCAATTCATGCCCATTCCGTTCATATGCCTTAATAATTGCACTCCACGACCCATCATCCTTTTCTCTCATTCTGTCAAATACTTGTTTTGCTTTAACTAATCTTCCATTCTGGCCAAGCCCAACAATCATTGCATTACAAGAAGTAACTGACTTTTCAGGCATTATCTTAAAAAGTTCCGATGCTTCCTCAACCCGCCCGCATTGCAAGTAACCCGTCAGCATTGCCGTCCAAGACACTTCATTCTTCTCGGGCATCACCTCAAAAAGCTTTCGAGCAACGTCTACTTTTAGATTCTGAGTATAACCAGAAATCATAGTCGTCCAAGAGACGACATTTCGGCGTGGCATCTCATCAAAGAGTTCACGGGCCTCTGCTAAACGACCTTCAAGGCAATACCCTGAAATCATGTTAGTCCTAGCGACCACGTCCTTCACGGGTATCTCGTCAAAAAGCCGGCGAGCTTCATCAATACGACGATCCTGAATCAGGCCGCCTAACATTACAGTCCAAGAAACAACATTTTTTTCAGGCATTTGCGAAAACAGGGATTCCGCCTCCGAGATGACACCCTCTTGTACATAACCTCGAACCATGGAAGTCCACGAAACAACATTACGCTCAGGCATGGTATCAAAAATTTTACGGGCATCTCTAATCATCCGGTTTTTTATATACCCAGAAATCATACCATTCCAAGAGGAAGTGTTCCTCTCGGGCATTCGGTCGAACAGACGACGGGCTTCTTGTGGTAGATGATTTTGAAAATACCCAGCAATTATGGAGTTCCAAGAAACAACGCTTTTATTCGGCATTTCATCGAAGACCCTTCGAGCAGCATGTACCTGGCCAAGTCGGGCATAACGAGCAATCTGATTATTAGCAGCCAAGACAGCGTCAATGCAATACGGCTGACAACGAATCGTCGACGACCGCATCTACGGGCCAGGAAGGAATCAAAATACAGGGTGAGATTTTTTCAATCAGAAGTTCAGAGCAGGCTATTCAAAAAAATTGTAGTTATCTACGTGGAAAGGAAAAAAAAAATACTATAAAGAAAATAATCAGGAAAATGAATCAATTGAAACCGGTGTATCATGGGATTGAATTGAACAACCACTGTATTGGAATAAGTGCACTAATTTACGAGGAATGTAGGGGTGTGAAGACAACACTATGCAGTGAAGCAGTAGACGCTGATGCTGCAAGGACGACGCGTACAGATACTAGGCGTAGACGGAAGGGCCATATGTACAAGCCAGAGCGGAGAAAATGTGGTGGAAGGTTGGGAGATGATGGGAGCAGACCAAGGTGGGGATAATAGAGCTTGTCGACGAAGAGACTGCTCGCCGGAATGGAGGGTTGGAAGTTGTAACTCACGTCGTCCCTTCTCTCTCATAACTCAAACATTCATAGATTAAAGGACAAAAATAACCTTCACTCTCCATAACAAGGTCGGTGGACCTTATGTGGGGACAGGGGTAGAGCCGTAACGTGGGCCATGCCGGTTTTTGGGTCGCCCGCACTGTAGCGGGCTGTGCCGTGGTGGCCACGCAGGCTGTGGCGGGCCATGCCTTGAGAGTCCGACATGGCTGTGGGTTGGTATAATTAACCTGAACTTTGGGGTAGTGTCATTTCAATACCTAAATTTTTTAAAAGTATCAACTTAGTCCTTGCCCTTAATCGACCATCAATTATATATTGAAAATGTCAAAATTACCCTTCAAAAGAAGATATTGCTCATTGTCTTCTACCATAAGATTAAACCAGTTATCTTCAAAGAAAAAGAGAAAAAACATAAAATATAATAAAGGAAAATAATAACTAAAAGCAAAAAAATAATTGGACAAGAATGTGTTTTAGATCTAAAGGTAGAAGACAATGACTATTAGTCTAGAATTCCAAACACCTCAACCGGTTCAGTCTCAAGGTAGAAGACAATGAACCGTGTCTTCTTTTGAAGGATAGTTTTGACATTTTCAACAAATAGCTAATAGTTGATTAATGACAGGGACCAACTTGACACTTTTGGAAAGTTTAAGTACTATAGTGACACGTTTGAAAGTTTGAGTACTAACTTGACACTACCCCCACAGTTTAAGGTACTAAAGTGGAATTTTCTCTAATTTTTTATGAAAATTCGAAAAGAATAGTATAAAAATAAAAAAAAATAAAAAAAGATAATAAATTAAAAATCTTAGAACTTTATTCCATGTGAATTTTAATTTATACAATCATTTTGGCATTTGGTGATATGCCTCAATCCCTCATAGGGGCCATTGAATTAATGTATACAATTGTGTAATATGAAATAATAAAATGAAATTGCAATAAAATAGTATAACAAAATTGAAAATAAAATATTATTGTTATTAATATTAATATTATATTTATTATTATTATTATTATTATTATTATTATTATTATTATTATTATTATTATTATTATTATTATTATTATTGTGCCTAGCTGAGCCATTTTTCTACGCCATAGCATGCTGGCCTGGGGCTACCTAGACTTCCTAAGCCTGGCACTGCCCAAGTTTTTCCGACCATGCTTGGCACAACCAAGTCCAAACCACAGGCTTCTTTTGATTAAAGTATTTCAAGTGAGTCCAGATTTTCTCCACAGAGAGTACACCTCACAACACTTGTAGTGAGTCCAGATTTTCTATCCACAACAACTCTACCCACATAATATCGCAAACACACATGAGAAACATCTCATCCTCTTACATGTTACTATTAGGGGTGGCAACGAGCCGAGCTTTTTACGAGCTGTTCGAGCTCGGCTCATGAAAAGCTTGTCTCGGCTCGATTTCAACCGAGCTCAAGCTCGAGGTTGAGCCTACTAGAGCTCGGCTCGTGAGGCTCGCGAACTAGCTCGAATATATATATTTATTTATTTGATATTTAATATATATAATAAAATTATAGAAAATAATATATATTATAAAATAATATATATAATAAAAATATTACAATTCTTAATCATTATAATTCTTAATTTTTTAAATATTAAATAAAAAATATTTTTATATATAATGTTTTTTTTTCAAAATCGAGCTCGAGCTCAAGGTTCTGGCTCGAACCGAGCTCGAGCCTTGTAGAACAATCTCGAGCCAAACTCGAGCCTGGTAGTATTCGGCTTAGCTCGGCTCGAATCCACCCCTAGTTACTATGCACTGGGAGATGTTCCCAATGCATGGAGATAGCGTTTTATGGGTAGACATGGGTAGAGTTCTTGTGGGTAAGAGACCCGAAGTCCTTGTTAATAATTGCACATTCACAATATCTCCCATCTATATATCTACTAAAGTAAAGCTTGCCATGTTAGCAGTCCTCTCCTTATTTCATTACCAAAACTAACTCTGGATCTCCTGCCCACGAGAACTCTGCCCACACCTACCCACAATACACTACCCCCTGTGAATTAGGAACATCTCCCGCTACATAATACCATGCAGAGGATGAGATGTTCTCCATCTATGGCTACAATAAATGTGGGCAGAGTTCTCGTGGGCAAGAGATCGGGAGTCACCCAAACCAAGCAATTCTAGAGGGATGTAAGATTCCCTCTAGAAAGACTAGGAGTTGCCACCTAACATGGCTTATCTCCTTTTTTTTCCTCTCCTTTTTAGTAGGAAACTAACTATCCCCCACTCTCTCCTAAATTATCTCTATCTCTCCCTAATTCCTATTTATCTCCTAAATTATCTCTAATTCCTATTTATCCTCTCCCTCACTTTTCATCTATATCTATATCATGAAAGTTTCAATTAAAATATTTAATAATTATTTAGATATTATAATGAAATTATGTTAATAACTATAAAATATTTATTAAAAACACAAAAAATAATTATAATAGGTTTAATAATATTCATATTATTAATAATTTTATATTTTTTATGAAATTCATAATGAAATTATGTAATAACAACATAAATTATAATTTTGTGGATTATTCAATGAATTTAATAACTAAATAATATTTTAAAAATATAAATAATAAAATATTAAAAATAACTAAATAATTAATGTAACAAAATATGTAAAATTACATAATAACTTGAAAGAAATAAAATTTAAATAACAAAAAAGATTAAATATTTTATATACTTTTTAAATATTTAAATAGTTACAAAAGAAAATTTATGTAATAAATTAAAAAAAATCTTAAGAGTAGAATAATAATTATAATAGATTTCATAATTTTTGAATTAATAATAATTTTATATTTTGCAAAATTAATAACAAAATTATGTAATAATAGTATAAATTATAATTTCATGGATTATTAAATTTAAAAAACAATTAATGTTTTACAATTTTAAATAATGGTATTATTTAAATAATATTTATATCTTAAATAATAATTTTATATTTTACAATATTAATAGTTAAAATAACGAAATTATGTGATAAATTTAAAAAATCTTAAGAGTAGAATAATAATTATAATAGATTTCATAGCTTTTGAATTAATAATAATTTTATATTTTACAAAATTAATAAGGAAATTATGTAATAACAATATAAATTATAATTTCATTGATTATTAAATTTAATAAACAATTAATATTTTAAAATTTTAAACAACGATATTACTTAAATAATATTAATATCTAAAATAAAAATTTTATATTTTTCAAAATTAATAACGAAATTATGTAATAACAATATAAATTGTGATTTTATGGATTATTCAATTCAATAACTAAATAATATTTTAAAACATAAATATAAAAAGTTATTTAAAAAACAAAAATACTAAAAATATATAAATAATTATGTAACGATAGATCTTAAATTACATAATAACTTTAAAGAAATAAAATTTAAATAACAAAAAGCATAACAATTCAATACCCAAACTTTCAAAATGTGCCAATCTAGTACATGCCATTAGTAGTCTATTAGTTATCTGTATCATGTGATGATATGTGTGACTTAAAACTTTTTAAAATGTCGAAACTAACCTTAAAAGACAATGTTCATTATCTTCTAACTTGAGAATGAAACAATGTTCCATTGTTATGCTTTTCTCATTTTCCCATTTGTCCCCCGTGGTCATTACAATGCCGTACTGACTAATCAACAAACTTGTTTTGATGGCATCCAAGCGACAATATCAGCTTGGAGACTCAGAAATGGCATATCCGCACCTCTCTCCAATGTCACCAATCTATATAGCATTTCTCTAGCCTTGAGTGGTTAGGTTTACAAACACAACAAGGAAGAAATTAAAACCAAAGCCAAGAAGGAAGCTCATATTTTTAAACATGAAAGTTGTTCAACATGGAGATTTATGAGTTTGTTGGTACGAGGAAGGTTCTCTAGAGTAGCATAGAGTATGTATTAGTGAGGGACATCATGGTTGTGAGCCAATATGGGAATGGAAACTTCATTACCATCAACGACTCAGTTGTTGTAGCTCCTAACAGTATCGACATTAATGATGATTACTTCTTGATTTACGTTGTCAGTGGTCTATATGAGGAGTATGTATCCATTCCTAGAAACAAGAAGATTTTGATGATAATCTGAGATGGAATTAACTAGATTATTCTCACAAGAAACCACAACGTGGGCGATGGTTGGACTACATTCAACTCTACAACCTTGGGTAAACTGATTCTGATAATCAAATTCACTGCTATATTATCATTTTTAACTATGTTTTCCCATATTTCTACATCTCATGGTTGGATAAGGTTTCGTTGCGGTAGATATAACCACTCGAATATTGCAGGACCAGCCAAGGGCTAGGTAGTGGCGGTCCAAAATGGGGTCGACTTGTCAACTTTCTATAGTTGTAGCTTCGAAGGGTATCAAGATACCTTATATATGCATTCACTATGGCAATTCTATAGAGAATGTGACATATATGGGGTGGTGGATTTCATATTTGGTAATGCAATTGTTGTATTTTGGAATTGTAATATATATGCTTGGCGGCCTATGAAAGGCCAAGGTAACACCATTAGTGCTCAAGGTTGAATGGACCAAAACCAGAGGTAATGTCATCACTACTCAAGGGGAGTAAGGGCATTTTGCAGAGTGCCCCAACAAACAAAAGCGTTTTGAATGATGCAGTGAGGTTTATGTGAGTGTGGTAGATAAAGAAAACTAGATGACACACGAAGGGCATTTATATCCTTTTACATGCCAATTAACTATTGGTTAGCAATAGGTATTGGATTGGCACGTTTTGAAAGTTTAGGTACTGAATTGTCGTGTTTTAAAGTTCGGGGACCAAAGTGGTATTAGGCCCAAAGTACAAGGTATTTTCCCTATAATGTATTCCACCTGATACATTCTAATGTTAGAAATGATCAATTTACAAAAATGAAATAAATATTAAGAAATTAAACTTCAAAGGAACAAACATTTTTTTGA